GTTGATTGATTAAAATTGACAATCCTACTATGTCGTTAAATTTATAACAAGTATTGCAATGTATTAGCAATTGAACTAAGTTTTAACATGATATCAAAATCCTTCATTCACCGATCAGTTAATGCCACCCCCGCAAGGGTTTCTTATTCTTATTCTCGTCGTGAATCAACTGTTGTACTGTCAGATTGACGCTGGAAACACCCAGCGGACGACGAGAAACATTGTCGTAAATGCTCCAACTAGACAAATATCTCTTAGATATCCCATTATAATTATAATGCTACTAATTAAAGTTAGAGGAGAGGGAGTTTTAACTGTCGCATGTCGGCTGCAGTGAAGTAAATATAAAGTTATCAAGAAGTCGAGGGGAACAATTTACAAGTGTCAATTATTATTTTACTGCAACTTTATAAGCACGTGACAACTTTAATGGTACGTGACAACTTTATAAGCACGTGCCATTATCATCACGTGATCATAAGTTAAAGTCTATTTACCAGTACTCTTCTCCATTTAGTAACAGGCTGGGACCCTTAATCGGGAGTTGTAGAACTTCCTAACACTTAAAATAATCAGGTCATGAAACTGATAATATTGACCTTAAAAGGGAAGGTAAGGCGGTCAACTTTGCAAAGGTTGACTTAACGAGGTGCAGAATGCTGGGATGTCTGACTACGACTAGGAGGCATGATCTTTGTGATGATTAATCCTATAGTAAAATTTTATTTGAAGAGACCAAGAGACCAGTAGTCCAAGAATTACAGTTAGAATTGCGCATCTACTTCTTTGACTCAAATATGTTTAGTTCATGCGCCCAACTTTATCCCGATGGAAATATGACACTTATTATTAGCACTAATTTTATAAACATTGCAATTAATTAAGCATTCAATCATTTCTATCAAAGTTGAAGATAAGATCAGAAACTGAAAACTAATTTTAATACAGAGCTCCCGTCAAACCCTAGACTGAATGATCCGTAAACTAATTTACAGGCGATATCAGTGTGAACTGACCTCGGACGATGAATTGAAGACTAAACATGTTTTGTAAAACAAAGCTAAGAAATTAGTACTCCCACTGCACCATTCATCTTCATGTTAATCAATTGCTCCGATTCAAATTCAATGACAGTTCAAGTTCCAATTGTTACCACACCTTTGAGATAAAGAACGGATTTATCATAATTGAAGCCAAAAGGTCTGCAGAATTTAAAACTTTATCATTCATCTTTGATCCCACTTGGAAATTAGCAATGATGCAACAAGAAAGTTGAAAATGACGACAATATCAATGTAGGGCTGAGTAAATGCCACCAAGTATGACATGCGAGCATGTTAACTGTTAACCATCATAGAATTCCCTCATTAGTCGCTCTAAAAATAAAATACGAATAAATATCACGAATTTAATCGTTTCCACAGACCACAATCAAGTTCCTTCTAATAGTTCTAATTTAAAATATTTAAAACATTTTATTGATGTGGTTGATCTAAATAGTGCCGCAACTGTTGAGTGCCAGAAGATTCGGGGAGGCAGCTGGTAAGCGTGCTGGAAGCCTCATAATTCATCCCGCTAAAATCAACTACCATGAAACTTCTGGGACTCCCCTATTCTGTGATATCAATATCATAATATGTACCGGACCATTAGTTTTAAAACATTCCTCACAACTCTGTTAAAATGGATATTTTTATTAAATTATTTTCTAGACATTTTTTAAAACATGACAGTTGTTAATAGAAATTGGTACAGGTTTAGTTCTAGCTAGCGGACTTCTTGCCGGACAGAAAATTTGAATTTGATTTTAAAGTTTTCCCAACGCTGAACGCTTTGTAAATTTGTGTTGCTTTGACAATTATTTAACAAAGGTGTTACTTCCCCTACTCTCAAAAATGAAATTTGTTGTAAAAAATCTGTTTTTTTGCATTTAAAAAAATAAAAGAAGCGTCACAATTTTCTGCCATAGTTGAAGCCCAATTTTTAAAGAAAATTTCTGTCTCCTCCGCAGCAATAGTTAAGTCTAGCTAAGCCAAGATTTGGAGGAGTTGAGTATAAAGATATACCCATCTAGTATAACTGCATGTCACAGATAAAGACTCCGTACCATATACAAACTATAACAAAATAACAAACTATACAAAAACATATTGCACGTATAAGTTATAAAGACATAATCAACAAAGATAAGGCTTTAACTGGTAAAAGTCTACTGTGGAATGATGAAGACTACTACGGAGTGAATTTTCTCAACTTTAACAAAATGCCTATAAATGTTTAATGTTTAACTTTAACAGAAATAAACGTAGAGAACCGATAAACCGGTCATGGGTCACAAAAATGCCACATGATGCAGTGATAAATAACTAGTAACGAGCTTTTATAACCCCAACTTTTATTTCAGTCGGTGCCTTTTGGACTGAGATAATAGGTTTAAAAGTTGCACGCAGTGAGCGCACTAAGCACTTATCGTAAAAACCGTAAGAAGAAGACCAGATCACGAAAAAATTGATGCAATGACTCTAGCTTGACGGCCAAAATTACCACAAATGCGATTTTAGATTCAGAAATCAGACTGAAACGAATTTCCCTTTTCGGGGTTCAAGTATCTAAAGGAAAGCGACTAATGAACAAGTGGACCCTTTGATAAAAAAATCGATTTGCACTACAGCAACGCGTCCGAAATAATGCTGAATCTCTTAACTCAATCTTGCGAGCTTTGTGAAGCGTATAGCATGAGCATTCTTAGTCTTACTCCGATCCTGGATACCATAGAGCAAGTTATTACAACAGTTTATTTAACAATGGAAAGAAATTATAATAATTATGAATAATAATTGATGTAAATCGTAAAAAAACATATTCAGGGTAAATAATTGAACTAAATAAATAGTGGTGATTCGATCAACACTATTATATTTATTTGTTTCAATTATTTATTCACTGATTTTTGGTTGGTAAAGTGTTTGTTAGGGCACCACTAGGCACTATATAATTCCGTTAAACAACAATTATAATTGCAGTAATACTTTTTCTTTTATTCTACCAGGCACCAGCTATAAATAATATTTGTATTATTTTAAGCAAACCTTTATAATTGTATCAAATAATATAAATATTTGAAGAATGTGAATCGAAGAAAACAAATATTGTAAAAGTAATAAGACATAGTGAAACAACAAAAAATAAAAACGAGTGACCGTTCAGCCGTTATATAGGAAGCATTCCTACGGTACATTTGTCTATAAAAGGAGACAAATGCACCGTTGACCGTATTCATTGGTTGTAAAACAAAAGACATCATATGTCATTTCAATTACGTGCGAAGTTGACAAAAGTAACAATCGGTACACAGTACAGCTACAATGGAAAGTCACGACTTTATTTTTACCCCAGGCACGGGAAGGGGCGCTTATTTTTCATGAATACTGACAAATTAAACAATAAAAAAAAGCAGCCACCAGTGCATATCAAAACACAAAAGAAATGCCGAGGAGCGGTAGCGCTAGGTTATTTTTAATGAATATTGAATACCGACAGACTGAGGAGAAATATAGTATCTCGGCATACTGGTCGTGTCATTAATATGGCGGCAATACTTATAAAATTTGAAACACCTAAGGCATGCAAGAGGAGATAGCAGTCGCCTGTCGCATATTATTCGAGATATTGTCTGAAAAGTGGAAATAAAAGACAGCTAAGGTAAACGGCAGCATAATATCCTAGTAGTGAATCTAACGACAGGATTGCATATCTGATACCAAAACAAAATGAAAGACAAAACTTCCTTCCCACAACATGAATAATGTACGGTCACAAAATGAGCTCGACAGTAAACAGGTCCTATTTAAACGAAACAATTATTTTTTAATTTTAAAACAGAAATATCATTAAGAAAGGGTGTGATCACAGAAAATTAAACGACCTGCGGTTAGGTTTTCTCGCATGAGGTTAGTATTTATTTACATTGTGGGTGATCTAAAAATACTAGGCAAGCACAAATTATGTAATGACGATATGCGATATATCATGACGCATGAGCACACTTAAATAATAACATGACAACTAAACAACGGAATAGTTTTAACGCTATCTTTGCAGATATAATCCAGAAGTGTGGGAACTGAGAGCAACGCTGCGTGACCAAGGAGAGAATAATAACTTAGAACTGAATCAGATCCAAGGCGAGCTATCCTGATGTGCGATAGCATCATCAGCAAACCTTTGAGGACTTACAAATTAACGAAACCTGAACTACCTATCAAGTAGAGGTTCCCGGAAACATTTCCAGACAGCCAAAACGTCATCCTTCACCAGTTCCTCTGATATCAAAAAAGTTTTAACGCGGCCCGCAACCTCGCGAATCTGGACTAACGATCTAAGTTGCGTCAGTACCACATTTACTCGAAAGTAATTTCAATCAAGATTATATGAGATCCTGCAGATAAATAAATGTTTCTCAGAGTGGAGCTGGCCTAGATAACGTCACAAAAATTCATCAAGTACCTCCCATTTGATCATGCTTACTTTGGCGGAGGGCAGCTTCGTTTTAATCTCAAATTAACAGATAGTTGAGATTTACCGTCATGCTTTAGAGGACCCCAGCGGGCCCCTTGACCTGATGTCAAGCCGATTACCAGGACCCCTGGGATGGGTGGGAAGGGGTCCAGGAGGCCATTTGGGCTGTCTACGGTAAACAGCGGCCGAGGTATGACACAACTAGTGAAGATGGGTGACGTAGAACAGAGTAGTGCTGAGTTCGGACCAGCTCCTGGCACTGCTACTCAGTATGTTGGTACGTGCGGACTAAAGATCTAGGGGGGTGAAGCCAGTCAGGGTCAGAGAGATAGTCTGATGCGGAAGTGGGGAAGTTTCCCGGGAGTGGTATGGAACTGAACTTATCAGCTCACTTCATGGCTACTTATAGTAACATGAGTCATCACTTTAGTACTTGGGGTATTTGAGGTATTTGAGGGTTGTTGTTGTAGAGAGAAGACACATTTGTTTGAGATAGGGTAAAATTGAAAAAGTATAAATTACAACTTAACTCAAGAACCTCGCACAACATCAATAGCACGAAAAAAAGAGACTGATATTTACAAAGTGAGGATCAAAGTTTTTATAGCAAGGCAGCACCAACAACTGATGCTTTACAAATTCATGTGGCTCATTACACTGGCCCTCCCTCCTTTAACTTCTTACGTAGGCTCATTAGCAAGTTTGCAACATTCTAGTATCATTAGTTATAACATTAGTCCCATGACATCAGTTCTTCCATTACTTATTAAATGGGTCAAATTACTATCATGTTTTTATGCCTTTTCCACTAATCAACGACCCCTGACGTGTGATCACATGGGGGTTCACCCTGAGCTCATATCCGGTTTCCCGTTCTAAAGTTTCTCAATAACGCATTTGACCGTGTCGTTGAGTAGTTGTTGACTCATCCGCCGGTAGTGGTGCTTGGTACAGTACTTGGTAACCGTGTCAATCTAGAATCTGATCTGTAATCCTGGATGATAGATCATGCTTCTGGAGCTGGTGTTGCTTCTTTAGCTCCTCCTGAAATTAGTACTCATGTTAGCGCTCCCCTCTAAAACTTTAAATCTACGATTAAAACATACCCAGTGCAGATTTAGAGGCACCGCCAAAGAATGAATATAGTAGTAAATCTAGTGATAAGGATATGAGTCAGATGAGAGATTGCTAAGGACCTCATTGTGAGCGTTTTGAACAGCCACTTGACGTGCCCTGAGACTTGATTAGTCCAGGTTGCACAGCACAGCGTCTCAGAGTGACGACATTAGAGCAGGATAGATAGGACTGACAACTGCTCACATGACATCGTGTCACGTGGTATGTACCTACATCTGGTATCTCTCCAGACCAGGGCACATGAAAAGTGGTGTAATGAAGTGCGAGCTGGGCTCCTAAACCCGTCCACCACACCTCACGTCTGTGTAAATTAGACACAGTTAACAAAACAGATCACTCAAATCCACTTTGACATGAGCACCCGGACTAAGGAAAGAAGGACCGTTTGCAGGAAGTCGTGGTACAGACTCGTTCAATTCTCATCAAACTCATATTTCCATCTCAAGTGCTTGGTCCTAAACCAAGGACAATACCCTCCAAATCTTGTATGCGGTTCCTTGGGTGAAGGGGACCAGCTGGAACCGGAATATTTTGCCGGATTCCATTATTCCATTCAAGGATGTATTTTCAGTGAGGTAAACTGGGAGTGGTGGTTTCTGTTTTACCAATTTGACGGCTTTGCCGGATACTCATAAGACAATTTGACTCTAATTGGTGACGTCATGACGTCACCTCAAGCGCACTGTCACAACCCCTCGACTTCAAATGATAAATGATAACAATTACTGCGCCCTAGATCCGTGAGCTGCGAACCCGAGATCTATTAGTCCTCACCCCCGCGCACGCCAGCTCACTGTACGGATATTCATCTGTAAACTCGTTACTTAATCATTACTAAAATAGAAACCTCATTATATAATGAGCATGATTACTAGAGGAGGAGGAGAAGTTCGCCTTTATCTGGCATTCTTGGAATTACAGCTCGCATTTAATGGGCGAGGAAGCCTTGTACTGTAATTGGTAAACCAGTGGACCGAATACCCAATCTTCAGTCATAACACAAGGTTTAGCAGTCCTATGTCTGCATCATTAATCATAGCATCAGGTTTAGCAGTCCTATGTCTGCATCTTGTGGATATTTTATCTAGCAGCGATCATGTTTACTGTAAATACCGCTACTGTTCATATCATCTTAAGATGTGAGTTTTTAATGAAGATTGTGAGATGAAGCAAACATTAGAGTTACACTTGCTTGTGTCTTCCCACAGATTTAATATCCCACGATGTTTTGTAGCAGTTACAAACGTTTGTGGTCTATAAATTATATTAAAATGTCTATGCAATTTTCATTTCTACGCTTGCGAAACAATTAATTTTCATTAGCATCCCTTTGTCTGAGTTTCCATTTCAATTTGGCAGAACAGACCTGAGACAATGTCGGCTAACGGTTAGACAAAAAGTTACCAATTAAACAAATGATTTCCCCCGCTCGAAAAGCATACTGCGACACACAAGAGTGGCTTTAAGAATTAGGATTTGTTGGATTTAAGCGGGTGTATTCTGGGAAAATGAAAGAAACAACAGAGTCAGATAATTGACAGTAAATCTAATTACACAAACAATTGATGAAAATTTAGAATCTGTCTAGACTCTAGATTGATATTTACGGTCTATTTCCTATGCAGATTGCAGAAGCCAGGAGGTAAGGTATAAACTGAACAATAGTGCCTTAATTGATCTTAATTGAAGGTTTGTGATTCGTGAATACCATCCAATTACTTATCTTCATTGCACTAAAATTATTTTAATTTTTCCTCGCTTCAAAGCAGATCCAAACAACTCCTCCAACTAAATTCACAGACTCGTGTAATATTTTTTATGATAAACGGACTTTCACAATTTCACAGGCATTTACCTCTTGAAATATTACTGAATTGGAGGAGAGATATGAGGGGTTTGAAGGTAAGACTGAATATGGGTTTACAGTTATAATTCTGACAATTGTTATAGGTTGGTGGGGGATATCGAGGAAAGGGGGAAAGTTATTTTGGTAATAATGCACACGAGGTTCAACGAAGAGGCTAAACGACACATTACTTTTTTGATTTGTTTGAGGTTTCCATGAAGCTTGAAAAATCCCGAAGTAGCATTAGAAGTGAAGATAAACTACTTGCAAAAATATTTTCATCTTAAAGAAATATTTGCATCTTTAAAAAATATTTGCATCTTAACCGTAGCGTAGCCTCTCGTTGGGCTGCTTTATCTCCTGGGTTTATTTATAGAAATCACCTTACAAATATTATGAACGTTTACTGGCCAAGCATGAAGTCCTACGAGGCCTTGTGTGAAAGGTGCAACGCTCGACCGCAATCAGGGAGCAGCCATTTCTGGAGAATAATGTTGGTCGTTGGGTCATGTCCTATTTGGCATGTAGAACTCGCAGGAACGTGCCATATATAACATTCCTTCTCCAAATGAGTAGTGGTCATGTGACCTAAAATCTAAATCCTGACATGTTCGGTATAGTATAAGTATGCGGGATGAATATTTTACACGTTGGGTCAAATATTTGAGAGCGAATCACTGATTCTGCAGCTTCGTGCACTGTCCTGCTCCCAATGATCTGTGCAAAGCTAGACAGTTGTACAGACAGCCCCACATACCATACGCCAGATAGTATCTCTACATACATTCCATACACATGAGCTCCTTATTTTTATTCCTGATAATTATCAGTGAAATTGACACCTCGAATGATCTCTCTTAATACCATGACAACACTTGTTTCTCCCCAGATTGCAATGTGTCTGCTCCTCCTACAATATAACAGACTTGACCTGGTAGAATGGGTAGACAATTCCCACACATCTATACTGGGAGGGTACTTTAAGATGACTTGTCTCTTAGGAGTTTGAGTGTAGCTGATATCATAATATCTCGAATCTTTAAAATTAAATAATAAAATGTTTCAAACAGTATACACATAATGTCACAATGACCCTATATAAAAATAACCCTTCAAAAACTCAATATTTTGAAAATCACCCTTAATTAAATGGCTTGTGATCGAAGATCATGGAGAATGTTGTTTGACCAAAATAAAAATGGGGCTCTGGGTTTAACGAGATAATCTACAGACTGAGTAACTCGTAGCGGTGTTTTTTATCAATCAACTTTCAAATTGTTACACAAAGTAGAACATAATTTTATTAAAAAGAAAATTCGCCTAAAGACCTGTATATGCCTTGACAGTGACTGAGTGTAAACAAAATTAGGGTCACCGAAACACCAGATGACCAGTGAACTGGTCATAGTAATTACATCAGGCCCTAAGTGCACCTATGGAGATATCATTTTGGACATTTGTATTAGTAGTAGTAGTAAATCTTTCAAAGTACGAAATATCTCTTTAAAAGAGCATCCTAGGCACCTTATAGATATCAAAACGCATAAAAAAGAAAACAAAAACATCAACCATCTTCTAACTTCTTCCATTCCTCCCTATCTAAAGCCAAAAATCTAAGGTCTTCGAAATCAGTCAAATTCTTAAGTCTAATATCAAGATTTCTACTAGTCAAGTCTTTTCTAATAACATCCAATAAGTTTAAACATGGTCTACCCCGTCTCCCTTCCATAAAAATATCAGAATTTATAGCAAATAACATAGAGGTGTATGCTGGTGAGTCTTCCTGTCCTCTTAAGATATGTCCTAACATTCTCCATCGAAACTTAGAGACTCTCACAGACAAGGGAGTGACATAACAACGAGCATAGAGTGCCTCATTAGAAATCAAAAACGGTTGAAATTACCACATGTCACATGTCGAAATTATGAGTTAATGTATCCAAACTGTGAGATCTACAAGAAGGAATCTAGAAAGTTTTCACTCTTATGGACACTGTCCTGTTAAGAGAAGATATCCTAGAAATGTCCGATGGCAGACAATTTTCTCAACAGCTGATTTGCATGCTGGGCCTACGTACTCTGCATATCATGTACAATTAGCGCGCACAAAAATCAGTATATGCGGCGCGCACCTTGTTAAATATACTTTCAACAGTAAACAGCTAATGTTACCATGACAACCATGCGCGTTCCCATAGTAACCTGTAGACCTTAAAAACATTCCATGAAACAGGTGGTCGTTGAATGCAAATTAAACTTCAGCCTCACCCTCAGGCCTCATCGAACGTTAAAACTGAATTTATTTCATCAAAACAGTGTCCAGTCCAATAACAAAACTCTCGCCTAACCATTGGCTAATTCGATAGAACGCAATGAAATGTGACCCCTGACTCTAAGTAATCCATCACATGAAATTCTCAGAGATTTGGTCGGTATGTGCAATGCAGTCAATTCATTTCAGCTTCATGTGCCACTACCTTGTTTTTTATTTCAATCTGCTCTATCTAATCTTTAGGTTGACTTTAAGTCACAGAAAAATTTGATGAAAACCCTGATACCTCTGCTCCTGTTTATGCTACTGAAGAGAAGCGAAACAGCAGCTGGCTACTGCTACAACACGAAATGCTTGAACTTGAACGGAACCTACATCGAGTGTGACAGTGAGTTTAACACGTGCACACCTGGACAGTCTCCCGCCACTCTAGCGGAATGCTCCCCCGGTCAAAGTAGCGGAGAATTATCATTTTGGTGTGGGCAGAACGAGCAGTGTAAACACGTTGAGTACACTGGTAAAGCATACTGTGGAACCCTGAACAGGAGCTTCTTACAGCTGTATTGGCGTTATGTACTGGCTGCGGCTGTACAGGCTGTCGGGGTGGGCCTCATTTTGGGGACTTGTTACTGTTTCTGGTTCCAGTGTGGGTGTTGGAAAGACAGGTTGGGAGGTGGTTATGCTACTCTGTTGGAGACTGACTAGACAGAGGAATGAACCTTGAGCATTATTAAATCAATGGTGAATAACACTAGTGGACTATTTAATTAGCGTTTGACTTATTATGTT